TCAATGCCCTGCATGTAGCCTGGTCGAACCACTTGAAAGTCAGGACGGCCACCACCAGTGCCGGCCCAGCTGGATTGTGGCACAGCCAAGCTAACCATCAGACACGCCAACGCAGCGAACACAGCAACAGGAATGTTGTGCTGCTCAGTTTCTTGAAACTCTTGGGAAGCTTGCAAAGCTACTCTTGGAACAGTACGAGGAGTAGGTGCTGCCATGAATGCGGAGCACAGCGCGAATGCGGCAAGGAGGGTAAGGGCAAGGCAGCGTGCCATGGTTAGCGCGAAACACGTTCAAAGCGTGCAATGTCTGCCTTTAAGTCTCTGTCTGAGCTGAAAATGGTATTGTGCAGCGAGACAACCAAATTTGAGAAGTCATGTTTCCATCCTCTCATTCTCGTTCAAGCAGGATCCTTCAGCCTCCACTCAACCCTCCGCCTTTCACACCACTCGATCCGGAGCGGGAACCAAATCGGACGGCCCACACCGTGAGGAGGAACTCCGAGAGGCCGTTCCTGACTGGGCGTTCGGAGCAGCACGAACGCATGGTCCAAGCATGGTCCGAACACTCCCCCACCCCTGTGTTTGAAGAGGGTATCTTGGCATTACTAGGAACAAGTGCATCGCTTCTAGTAACAAGTGCCTTACTAGTAGTAACAAGAAGCTATTAGTAACAAGGGCATTACTACTAGTAACAAGAAGCGAGGGTTTTTAGGAAGCACTCAGAACCCCAACTCCCGTGTACTGTCCAACACCTCAGTTGAGGATCAAAACCGTTCAACCCCGGCCCATCCCTGGTAGTCCCAGTTCTGTTTCAGTCAATGAGAGGTTTCTCGGTTTCCCAGTGACCCAGAGCAGCTGACCATTTCGCTTGTCGAAAAAAACCCATCCGCATCGCTCGGGACTCGTGGAACCACAGGTGTCCGGAATCAGTGCGACCGGTTTTCTCCATGACTTCGAATTGGACACCCTGGCGTAGTGACGCGTTCGTGAATCACTAGCTCTGCGCATGCCTGTGCAATATGTCGCTCCAAATCCAAGCCGGAGCTTGGGACACTGGACCCCTGTCTGTCGTTCTCGGCGAATCACCGAATATGACCCGTTGTATTCTCTATTTTGCACTCCCGAAAGAGATCGTTTCAGATGTGAAGACATCTACTTATTCGCAGTGGATTTATCTTCACTCTGCTGCACCATTCAAGGTCTAGGCATGCTTATGCATTCTTCTTTGGATTCTTTGTGAATTGAAGAGTATCCTAGAGCCTTGCCACTTTCACTTTGGGCGTTCTGTTGGGAGACAACGTGGACGTCGTCTGAGAATGGATCGAGAAAGCATCCCCCATCCCTTGGGTTTTACTTTGAGAAATGTTTGAAGATCTTTCTACAGAAACACCTTGCCAGCTCAGGTTGGCCATTTTTTGGACGCAAACACTCTAAGAGCTCCCCAACTCAACTCAGGTCAAGACCAAATCATCACACGATTCATGTACTCGAAGGCAACCTGTCGGCGAATATTTCTGAGGTTTCAGCCAGCTGGCAATGAATTGTCACAGTAGTCTTGATGTAATGTTTACTACCTGGACCTTCAAAGGGGTGCTCAATGTAGATCGCAGAGAGTTGTTGGAAGGTGATGGATACTATATATATATATTACTATAAATTATAGCTGAAATCCGAAACCTTGTCTTTAGCTGCAAGATGTAATAGCAGGGTCACTGAAGGACGCACTGCTTTTCCCTCAGCTTTGATGAATATGGATGACAACCCATACCAAGTCATACACCACCCGGCCTGTCTTCTCGCCGTCGGATCAATGTGTACCTGTCGACTCGAACTCGGTCCACAAGCCTTCTCGGAAGATCAAGGCAGTAGGCAAGTGCCCCAAAACGGTGGTTTCACAGACCGGCCTTGCTCTTTTCGAACTGCCCTCCCCAAAGAGAAGGTGCCCAAAAAGGTGCCCGAAGTAAGAGTATAGTAAGAGTATATGTACCTGGCCGTTCCCCCTCCAGGCTTGCACCGATTCCTGGCGACATGTTCATTCGCCGCATTCGCCAGGTGCGAATGCCCGAGATGGACTCCCCGCCAAAAGACCACAGCGGTCGAAAGACTCGGCACTCAGTGCACTAGCCAATCCCAACCCCGTGAAACTGACTCTCTCAAGCCTTTTTCAAAACAAGGTGCGCTTATAAAGGAATCCAAATCTGCTTGAGAATCCACGGAAGGAATCTCAACAAACCCGCCAATCCCCCCACTGTTCCATATGAAGCTCTAAGGGAATCCAACGGAAGAACCCCAACCTCAGCACCCCCCCGGCACCAGGCGGATCTTCAAGATGCGGTCTCGTAGCTCGCTGAAGGTCCCGAACCTGGGCTTTGACCCGCGGAGTTTGACAGTGGGAGTAGTGCGGTGGCTTTACCGGGTGTCCGCATCCAATGCTAGCTGAAAGAAATGCATCAGACCCCTGTGGTGTTTCCGAACCTTCGCCACTGGACCCCGAGTTGAACGAGTCCAATGAAGGGGTATTGAGGCCGGTGACCTTTCTACAGTCAGGTGATCGTCTGTTCCGCAACGTTTAAGGGGTATCAACATCATATTGGCTGCAGGTCAAAACGTGACAGAAGGGTTGACCCCTCAAACAAAATGGACTAGACTACCGGGCGAGGTCCACCAACCAGGCTTTTGGAGTTGTCAATCTTACATCCCGTCCGTGTTATCTACACGACCCGTGCTCTGAGAGTAGGTTCGGTAGTGTCTAAGAAGCACGAGCCAAATTATTCACACACCCTGATACTGATTAGTTTAATGTGTCGGAAAAAATAAAAATAAAAAAATTATTCACCCAGTGTGGTTTTTTGTTTTTTTGATTGTTTTCTCTAATTTTCTATATTGATTTAATTAGACCACCACCACCACAACAAACCCAAAAAAACAAGACAGCGGCCACTGCTGAGGTTTGTCAGGGTTGCTAGCAATTAGAAAAGCCCAGGGTAGTACACAAGCCCAGAGTAATGGAATAGTATGAATTGTTTAGGGGTTGGATTAATCAGCAAACTTGGAGGCCTAAGGGAAAAAGCTAACTTTATTATTGTTCTGCTATTGCTGCCCTTTCAAACCCTTACTTAACTCTTCTGAGGTTTGCTTCATTCATGAACTCTTCTGAGGTCATGCAAGAACCTTGGTAGCTGAGCTTTTCATACCCTTTCTTGAGTTTGCTCTGCCGGCGTCACTGAAACCCTGATGTTACTTCTTTTGGTGGCGGTGATACTCTTCAGACCCCCTGGATTGGTTGCTGGGGGGGGCCTTTACTAATTTAGATCCAACAGTACCCACATAACCACACACATGTACAGTGCCAACTGACTTGATGTACTTCACGCACAAGCAGTTTGCACGCACAAGCATGAATTGAGGGATCTAGGCACTCACGGGGGCAACTTTGCAAGATGCCTATCACTCGCTGAGAGCGTTCCATGCGCAAATACATCAAAAGGGTTTTGGAGGTTCAGGTTTTGACCCGCACACCCATACAAGTATGTACCCTTACCCGGAGGCGTTCGACACACTGGCTGGAAGCTTGTTGAAATTCTCCCGCCTCAAAAAGATGAGGAAGTTTGTGGCCACCAACAAGGAATGCAATGCCACCCCTTTGGGCACTGCACTTCGCAGAAGCCTCGACAAATGCTGGAGGACATCACTGGCTCTAAAGGCCAATGATATGGCAAGAAGGTTTCTGACGTATGATGCATTACAGATCTCCTCATGTTATGTCGGGCAAGAGCCAAGAGCATATGTTCTTAAATTATAAAAATGCAACTTCCCTCTTGTCAGTCTTTGATTCCTGGAAAAACTCGGGTCGAGCCCACAGATGTTGCTGCGCTTTGACATTCCCCTAAATTCACCGAGGTCGGCACCAAGATGCCAAAGCCTTCAGTCTGGGATGCCCAGACTCCACCTGGACGTCCCACGCTTTGAAACCGCAGGCATTCGCTTCATGGGTCGTTAAAAGCGTTGATAGCTTTGTGGGTCACCTTCGAAGGAGTCCATGCTCCAGGCCTGTAGGATCCATAGCATCATCCAAAAGAACGGTTCAGACCACTGAAAGCCAGTTTTGAATGTTGTCTTCTTTGTTAGTTTTGTGGCATGCTGCCAAACGCAAAGAGCTTCGGAGATGCACTTCCTCAGTTGCTGCAGGAAGATCGATTTGCTTCTTTTTTGCACATTTCGCTTACCAGAGCCATCCAATGGACAAAGACTCAACTGACTCCGATTCTCCTTCACCAGTCGGGTTCAAAGTTGTATCAATTTGTGTGAACCACACACCTCTGAATGTCATGAATCCTGAAAGGGCCATTTGTAGGAACAAGAGGCTACTAGGAGCAAAGGGCATCGCTATAGCAGCAAGGACGCTACTAGGGGCTCCTGGCCATACTACTA